CTTGGTCTTCATGCTGCCTGCTTGGTGGTGCACCTTAATTTTTAAAGGTGTTGTGCTGCCGCAGCTGTTACAACCAAACAACTACAGGCCGCGGTAAACTAGAATAGCCCGGCCTTCAGTTAGAACGTATTATTGTAACATCAAATGCCAACGTCAGAGACACCATGGAGTTGACGCTCATTACATCACTTTACTTTCAGTTTCACAATTCAGTAAATCGCTTCTCCTCTTTGTATCCATCAAGTAAAACATCGGATTTACGAAATACAGTCGCTAACAACAGCCTAAATGCCAACCCAACACTAAACAGAAAAACCAACAGGGACAACCCATCTGATCACAGAACCTGAAGAAGTCATTTCTGTCTCAAGATTACCCAGAAGGCCCTGCGGCTCACACGGATTCATGCATTTAAGTACAACAGGTAATAAAAATAAATAAATCGGACTGAACTTTAACAGTAACCCACAGAACATACGTTTCTGTAAATTTTCATCATTTAATGAAACAAACACAATTTTAATTAAAAAAATGTCACTGTAAACTTAAACTTGAGATTTAACCTTCATTTTTTTAAAGCTACTACAATTTCAATGTGGATTTTTGGATTTACATGTTGCAAATTAATGCATCACAAATCTTTATGGTCAAAATAAAAAAATAAGAATAAAAACAAAAAACAGACAACACCCCCCGCCGTTTGGTCCCGCCCACTCTACATCAGCACTGTGATTGGTTAATTTTCCCGTCTGTTAACAAACTCATCCTGCAGAGACTCTGAGCTCGGCCTTCTCTCCTGACACTGAAGTCCTGACCAATGAGAACTCCTTCTGTTTCTGCCCAGAGACAATTTTTTCAAACAACCTGATTGGATAACTGGATTTTCATGAATAAAAAATGTCTTGCTCAACTTCAAAGTAGTGTACAGGAGATAAGAGAAAGTAGAAAAAAAATTAAAAGTATATTGAAAATGTTTATTTTATTTAAAATAAACATTAAATAAAAAAATTAAATGTAACATTACACATGTTCTGCATTCTTGGGACTTCTCTGAAGGCGTTGAAGGCCCCGAGGGTGCCCCCTGACTTTAGGTCTTTTGATTCTTAGATTTCTCAAGGGTGTATTTTATTCAGGGGTGGGCAACATTTTGTTTCCAGAAAACCAAATTGAGTTGTTTAAAGCAATTAAATAATGCAGAGTGAATTGGAAAATTAATTAATTTTTAAAGACAGAAAATGTGAAAAACATTTTCAGCTTTTTATTGTTATAGCAAAGTTAGCATTGGTACAAAAATAAATAAGTATTTCTAAAACCTTTTAGGAATAGAAGACATACTTTCTGTAAACTACCTCTTGTGGTAATATTTTGTTAGCTTAAAATATGCAAATAAATAAATAAATAAATAACACAAAATAAATAAATAGAAAAGGGTTTGTGTTTGTCTTTAGGTTTCAGTCTAGTTCTGGAAACACAAACAGTGAATTTTTTTTTTTAAGTTATCCCTGTCCTAATCCAATAGTTTTGCATAAATTTGTCCAAGATGTTTAATACAATTCAGATTTTCATCAACTTATTTTAAAATTATTTTCCTTTTAATTAAGGATACTGTGGGCCAGATTCAAATTGCCCCTGGGCCACATGTTGCCCATCTTTGATCTTATTTAACAAATGAACATGACTTCTAAAGTTAATGACTGGGTCTTTAAAACAAAGAAGTGAACAAATATACATGCAACTTTTGTATTTTTGCAGAATTATCATTTATAATCCAATAAACATAAATATATCAGTCTGTCTAACACCTTCACACCTTCACACATTCACACACAGGCCTGAGTGACGCATGGCCCAGCCCTCACCCTTACACCCGGCCCTCGGTGCTGCAGACTGAAATAACAGGTGCAGCCATGTTGTGGAGCCAGAAATCTTACCCCCCACTGCCGGTTTATATATAAATATTATTATTCTCTCCTGCAGCCTGAGCTCCGTGTCCGCCCTGCGTCAAGGTTGGGAAGGAGCGTCAGACTCCCTGCTCTGACCTGCCCTCACGTCTCCAGGTTTCCAGATGCAAAACCTCTTACATAATCAGCTCTGACTGCTCCGAGTCCAGCTGGAAATCATTTCTCTGCAACAATCTGTGTTTAATCATGCCGTCACAACGCGTCTGTGAAGGGACGGGCGCCAAGTGTGGACAAATAAAAACCTACTGGAGACTGAATGTTAATTTGCTTCTGGAAAAAATAAAACTTTTGTTTCTGTCTTAATCTGAGTTAAGTCTCAAAATGAGTTTTTTTTTTTACTACAAGCCCTGTCCACATTCCAACTTTAGTTAATCTGTTATATGACATGTTTTTAAGGCTGCATGCATGCACAGGATTCATGTCGCTCTAAACGAGGAATCAATCAGCTTGCTGCAGAACTATGTTTTGCTGGCTGCACCTCCCAGGAATGCAGCTTGTGAGTATTTACACCTTTAGTTGTTTGTCCATAGAAAGAGTGATGGTTTGCACAAAGAGTGGTTGAAGCTGCCATGCCTCCTTCAGTGCATGGAACAGTAAGTTTTCCTCTCTTATGGCAAAAGATCAGGGTTGTCGTCTGGGCTTTGTGTGTGCAGGGTGCATTTAGTGCCATTTTTAAGTAACTGCATCCCTTTGTTGCCTTCATCGAAAGGTGTTCTGCTCCTCTCGTCCTGCAGACTCGAGCTGCCGAGCTTTTTGTCCCTGAACCTGATCTTGTTTGGTTAAATTGTGCTTCTGTCTTTTTTTAAACCTGGTTCTGATGCCACGCTGACGGCAGCACATTCCCTGACTTCCTGTAGAGGACAGCCGCTTATCGATCAGCACTGATGCATCAGTTTACGGCACGCAGAGTTGTTATCCGGGCTCTAACCTCAGTGAGTCAGCCTCCACCAGCAGCTGCATCAGGAAAATACAGATAACACTGGGCAATTTGCTGCTCACATCTGTGAGTGTGTGTGCTTCAGAGTGCTTGTCACGCAGACTTCACAAAGGCCCCTGGGTCCTTCAGGCTGACAGAATGATGTGCACGGACAGGCTGCAGCCTTGCTGTCCGAGCTGCAGGAAAGGGAGACGGCCTGTCTGGGATGCCTGTCTCAGAGATCTCCAGAAACCTTTGCTGAATTCCTTCCCCACTTTTAAATAGACCAGAGAGGTGTGGAGCTCAAACTGCAGCTCACTCTGCTGCAGTGCTGGACTCACTTCACAGAGGTTCTTGTTGATTGCATTTATGTTTTTACTGAAGGAATTTCACAGCACAAAACCAATTAAGTGAGAACAAACTATTTTTTAACAAAACAAGCAGCTGAATATGATTAAATCTTCTATAAGTTTGGTTCCGACTCATAAACCTGTCCACTCTGGGTGTGTTTAACAGGTGAACAGCAGAGAGGTGTGGGTGGAGGTGAGAGATTGATTCCCCTAGATGACCGTCATCAGAGCACAGGGCAGGAAGCGTCTCAGCTCTTTGTTTTTCACACAGTTTCCCTCCTTTTCCTACGTTTCCAGCCCAATAACACAATTTAACCATCCTCTGTAAAACTACAAAAACATGTAGTTTTATTTTGCTTCACCCACTCTTGGATTGAAGCGTCTTACAGACGTGTAGGAGGCCTCAGAGAAGATGAAATCTGTTCGTTTGTGCAGCACTAGAACCATTTCACACTTTTCACTGGTTTTAGTGGTGATGTTTCAGACTGAAATTGAAGTATTTTTCAGAAAAAGCCCACATTAGCTTTCACCATCGTGTTCCCTTATGCCCTGGAATTTGTTTGTAATATTAATTAGGTTGTAATTAAAAATACTTTAGATTAATGAATTTAAATAGGGTGGACATGTTTTAAATAATCTTGAAAAATAAAAATAAAAACATTGGAAAGTAATGTCCTGATGCATGCTCAATAATCCAGGTAGGTCAATATAACATTATCCAGTCTTCAGAGACTAGATGGACGGACAGACGGACAGACGGAAGGATGGATGGATGGATGTGGATGGATGGATGGATGGATGGATGGATGGATGGATGGATGGATGGATGGATGGATGGATGGATGGATGGATGGATGGATGGATGGATGGATGGATGGATGGATGGATGGATGAATGAATGGATG